TTGTTTGTCGTTCATGTCAAAACCACATTGACATTAATTAGTATTTTTGACAATACACAGGGCATAACAGTTAATAACGATAATAAAATGTTAAAAGTGAGGTAAAAGTTTACTTGTAAAGGAGTCAATGACGTGACGGCTACATTTTCTGTCCAACTGGATTTTTTTCATTTAAAAACAAGGTTGAAAGCCTAAAAACATACCATGTAAATCATATAACCATATAACTCACTTTACTTATAACAAAACACTTGTTTTTTGTAATTTTTCTGATAATTGAATTGTCAAAATGTCATGTGCTGCGACCGTCCAGCAATGACTCATGTTAACAAAACTTCTTTGAAATTTCTTTAAATCTATAAAAAAATTGTGTTTTGCCCTATTTGGCATGATTTCCAAAGTGTTTTGTAGTCCTCTACAAAATCGCAAAGCATTTGTATTTATATTTCCATAAAAATACACAAGTAAAATTTGTCCGATGAAGTCCATTTTTATTTTATGAATTTTATGTTGAAATCCATTAGAAGACAGGAAGTTGAATAGTATACCAATTTGCCAAGGATCGATTGAAACAGCATGTAGGTTTGTAACTCTATCTCAAATCTGAAATAATTAAAAATTGTAACAGCTGGTTGCCCCTTTAGGATAGGATAAGAAAAACAATTAATATAAAGTTATTTCTACCAATATTTGGTTTGATTATAAATGTTATGGAGTCCTTTGTAGGAAGCCTGCTTTTTTTGTTTAGGTGGCCATTTCTGTGCCTATAAATTTTGACTAAATAAGAAAATATTATGTGGTGCGACCAAATATCATGTGATGCGACCATTGCAGAGTGTTTTCCATGATAGGCAATTTAGTTTTTGTCCTTTAACATTCAATTGATGACTTTTACAAATAAAGTACTTTTAGTATGATTTCGAATAGATCTTTCTGCAATTTGACACACTTTTTCTTATATATCAGAAACAACAGATTGTTTGTTAGTCTTTGTACAAAATATTGAGAAAAATGAAGAAAAAATTGTAATTTGTAATTTCACTATGGTAACTATGCAATATAAGTAATAATTAAATATTTATAACTGTTTTAGCAATTGCCAATGCCAAGTAAAGAAAAACTGCTCTCCATGGACAGTATGTTAATTCTGACCCTGCAGCAAGAGCGGAGTCACTAAAAGAAGCAAAACATGTTGTATCTTAAAGAAAATTTAAAATGAAGACTAAATGAAGCAACATGTTGCTCTTGTGTGTGTGTTTGTGTTTCTATTTCCTAGGAGGAAATGCATTTTTTTGTGAACATATTGGTGTAGCAGCCCGTCCTCACCAGAGAAACGGGTGTTTAGGTCGATTTATTAAGCTGCTTTACGACCCATGCTGTGTTGACTGTGTCAAACCCAGGACTTTCACACAGGAGAACCGTGTTCAATTCCCTTATGAAATTATGTAAATGTAGAGTTATTTTAAGTTTGAAGCTAACTTTAGCCCTAACAAAATGTAGCAAAGCAATTATTGAAATAGAAATAGTGGTGACTTGCGGTACCTCTCCGGGAACCATCACCTTATCGTGGTGGAGAGATTTGCGTGCCCCAGTGAACCTGGAGGCTTTGTTGTCTGGAGCCTAGTTTTCCTGGTACGGTCTCCCAAGGCAAAGTGGTTCCAGGTGAGGGGCCAGACTGAGAATAGTCCACAAAGACAAGGAAGAGGAGGAGAGACCCTGCCCGGAGGAATCCCGGGGCCCCCGTCTCGAGCCAGGCCCAGAGGGAGGGCTTGTCGGTAATCGCCTGGTAGCCGGGTTTGCCACAGAGCCCAGCCGGGCATAGCCCAAAGAAGCAACATGGCACCCATCTCTCCATCCTTTGGACCCACCATCCATCGGAAGATCCGCAGGGGTCGGGTGCGCTGCCACATGGTTGGCAGTGAAGGAAAGGGGCCTTGACGGACCAGACCTGGGCTGGCTCTGGGGACGTAGAACGTCACCTCTCTGTGGGGGAAGGAGCTGGAACTTGTGCGGGAGATGGAGCGCCACCAGTTAGATCTGGTGGGGCTGACCTCCACGCACAGTCTCGGTTCTGGAACCGTACTCCTTGATAGGGATGAACATTATTCTTCTCTGGAGTTGCTCAGGGTGTGAGGCTACTACTCACAAGTCCCCGGCTGAGCGCCGCTACATTGGAGTTTACTCCGGTGAACGACAGGGTCGCCACCCTATGCCTTCGGGTAGTAGGGGGGAAACTCTCACTGTTGTTTGTGCATATGCACCAAACAGCAGTTCAGAGTACTCTGCCTTCTTGGAGACCCTGAATCGAGTTCTGTATGGGGCTCCAGTAGGGGACTCCATAGTTCTGCTGGGAGACTTCAACGCGCATGTGGGCAATGATACCTGGAAAGGCGTGATCAACACCGTGGTGGACACCAGTGGTCAGGGAAGCCGTCCGACTGAAGAAGGAGGCCTTCCGGGATTTGTTGTCTCGGAGGACTCCGGAGGCAGTTGCAAGGTACCGACGGGCCCGAAGGACTGCAGCCTCTGCTGTGGCAGATGCAAAGCAGCGGGTGTGGGAGAAGTTCGGAGAAGACATGGAGAAGGACTTACGGTCGGCACCAAAGTGTTTCTGGAGAACTGTCCGCCATCTCAGGAGGGGGAAGCGGGGAACCGTCCAAGCTGTGTACAGTAAGGATGGGACCCTGTTGACCTCAACTGGGGAGGTAATTGGGCGGTGGAAGGAACACTTTAAAGAACTCCTAAATCCGACTGACACGTCGTCTCTAGTAGAGGCAGAGCTGGAGGCTGATGGGGGTTTCTCGTCAATTTCCCTGGAGGAAGTCACTGAGGTAGTCAAACAACTCCACAGTGGCAAAGCCCCAGGTATTGATGAGATCCGCCCAGAAATGTTAAAAGCTTAGGGTGTGGAGGGGCTGTCTTGGATGACATGTCTCTTTAACATTGCGTGGAGGTCGGGTACAGTGCTCAAGGAGTGGCAGACTGGGGTGGTGGTTCCCCTGTTCAAAAAGGGGGACCAGAGATTGTGTGCCAATTCCAGGGGTATCACACTTCTCAGCCTCCCAAGTAAAGTCTACTCCAGGGTGCTGGAACGGAGGGTTCAGCCAATAGTCGAACCTCAGATCGAAGAGGAACAATGAGGTTTTCGTCCCGGTCGTGGAACAACTGACCAGCTCTTTACTCTCAGAGTATGGAGTATGTCCATCCAGTCTACATGTGCTTTGTAGATCTGGAGAAGGCGTATGATATCGAGGCGTAGTTGTGGCGAAGGAGGGGCTGCGGTTCAGTGGGTTTGGGATCTTGTCACTGCTTTTTGCGGATGATGTGGTCCTGATGGCATCATCGGTCCGTGAACTTCAGCTCTCACTGGATCGGTTCGCAGCAGAGTGCAAAGCGGTTGGGATGAGGATTAGCACCTCTAAATCTGTGGCCATGGTTCTCAGCAGGAAACCCATGGAGTGCCAACTCCAGGTAGGGAATGAGTCCTTAGGCCAAGTGAAGGAGTTCAAGTACCTCAGGGTCTTGTTCACGAGTGAGGGGAGACTGGAGCAGGAGATTGGCTGGAGAATCGGAGCAGAGGGGGCGGTGTTGCACTCGCTTTACCGCACCATTGTGACGAAAAGAGAGCTGAGCCGTAAGGCAAAGCTCTCGGTCTACCGGTCAATTTTCGTTCCTACCCTCACCTATGGTCATGAAGGCTGGGTCATGACCGAAAGAATGAGATCGCGGGTACAAGCGGCCGAAATGGGTTTCCTCTGGCGGGTGGCTGGTGTCTCCCTTAGAGATAGGGTGAGAAGCTCGGCCATCCGCGAGGAGCTCAGAGTAGAGCCGCTGCTCCTTTGCGTTGAAAGGAGCCAGTTGAGGTGGTTTGGGCATCTGGTTAGGATGCCTCCTGGACGCCTCCCTAGGGAGGTGTTCCAGGCACGTCCAGCTGGGAGGAGGCCTCGGGGAAGACCCAAGACTAGGTGGAGATATATCTCCACACTGGCCTGGGAATGCCTCGGGATCCCCCAGTCAGAGCTGGTTAATGTGGCTTGGCAAAGAGAAGTTTGGGGTCCCCTGCTAGAGCTGCTGCCCCCGCGACCCGACCCCGGATATGCGGATGAAGATGGATGGATGGATGGTGCCTTGAACATCCTCTCTTAAATGTGGCTGCTGATTGGGTAACCTCTGACACACCCAATAAATGAGAAAAAACATACTTGCAGTTAACACCACATGTTAATGAAATTAGATTAAATCTTTTGTCAAGTTATATGACATGAATGTGTACTGCACTAAAATAAATGTTTGTAATGTGATTTTCATCCAAAAAATGTTTGTGTTCAAAATTTATTTTTGGTATAGAATTTTTTGTTTATTGATCTCTTTAAATATATATTTTTAATGATATCTTCATGTCATTTGGAGCGATCAATAATAACAAGAACTGTATTAAATCAAAAATAAAATATCTCATTCCTGTGACTGAAATATGAATTACTGATAAAGTATGTTTAAGTGAATGGTAATTTTTAAACATTCTTATCAGTTTTATGCGATTTACAGAGAAATTAATCAATTAACTACATCTAAGAAGGGGACTGACATTATAGAACAAAAATATGAGATCATTATTTACAAAAACCCAAAAGAAAAGCAAATACATTGTGTGAGAGAGTCACTCACAATGACAGTATGTATGTACTGTATGTGCATGCGAAGTATTAAATTTTTTGCCTTTTGGCTGCAGACGCTGAAAAAAGTAACAAAGCGCTTTGATGCTCTGGGAATGAGACTGGGCTCATATGTTACACTTTAAGACAGTAGTTACTTAAAAACAAAATAGCTAAGTTGTTTCAAGGCCAGCAAATGCTTTTATTTGTTATACTGTTGCTCTCAGGTGGCCTGGATAGGACTGTTTGATGACGTCAACAGCTGGAGGTGGTCACTGGCAGATAAAATGTTCTACAAAGATGGGGAGGCCAAATTCAGGAACTGGGAGTTATCCGAACCCGATAACAAACAAAGTATAGAACATTGTGCCATTTTTCAACATGGAACCTGGTTCGATAACATGTGTGAAGACTCCGCTCGAGCAGTCTGCTTTGATGTCAGAGGTAAGAATTCTTACTACAGATCATGCACTGATATCACAACAACAACACAAATCCGACAAAAACAACATACTCTTTGTTCCTAGTGAAATTTAAATGCTATGGTGTTAACATTTCCACTGCATGTTTTTTTTCTACATACGTAAGTGTAAGTAAGGGGTCAACTAGGGTGACCAGTTGAAAATACCCACCACAGCCTGTTCATACTGCCGCACCACCAGACTGCAGAGCAGCTTTTTTACAACCTGTTGTAATGTGACAAATCTACCTTGTACCTTATATGTGAAATTTGGGACAGAGGTTGGGAGTGAGTGCGTCTTTCCGTAAATTGCATTCAGCATCAATGACCAGTAAAATCTAAATCTAAACTCAATGATAAAATTAATTATTTTTGCTCATAAAGTCCCCTGCCTGTCATTAATGAAAAAAACACAATGACTGTGAGTATGTGAGTGTGTGTGTGTGTATGTATCTGTTACATACAATTTATTTTACTGTATTTTCTGTTGCGTGCCCGTCACATCTGTACAACGTGCACGTCAGATAGCGCTCCCTCCTGCACCAACACTTCCCCTGTCTTTGCGATTGTAACTTCGGCTGATTTCATCCACACTAGAGAACAAAAAGGGGAAAAGAGCATACGTGTTACTTTGTGGCTATAACTACTTTGTTGACACAATGTGCAGGTATCCGGTCGCTCTAGGGTCAACATGCAAAATACTCAACATATATCAAACTGACAATGTCTTTGTTGCATTTACAAGTGCATTTTTTTATTAACGTGGTTCTTAACTGTATATCTAAATGTAACATTTCACTAATACTTCCTCAGATTAGATTGCTGTATTGGCTTGGTAAATTGGGAACATTATTTGATACTGTAGTTTATAGCAGTTCTACTCTACACAGCGCTTCACTGTGATCTATTTTCAGGGCCGAATGTGACATTTGTCCTCACCAACAACTCCATGATATGGCCTGAGGCCCAGAGCTACTGCAGAGAACACTACACTGACCTGGCCAGTGTGAGAAACATGACAGAGAACCAGAGACTAAATCTGCTGGTACCTGCAGGACAACCAGCCTGGATCGGCCTTTTCAGGGACTCCTGGAAGTGGTCAGATGGACGTAACTCCTCATTTAGCTACTGGAGCCGGGCATCAGGGGATCCAAATGGCGGCAAAGAAACCTGCACGGTAGCGGACTTTCTGTACTCTGGATATTGGGAGGACTGGACCTGTGACTGGAGGAAACCATTCATTTGCTACACTTCTGGTGAGTGGTAACCCAGGATTCAAATAGTGTTTATATTTGGGTTTACTTTGGCATTAAATTGCCTAAATTAGAATGTAACAAAAACAATACAAAACACATTTTGATGTTCATCATTTTTGTTGAAATTGTTTGAAAAGTGAGCTTGCTGGGATTCTGAAAATCTGTATTACTATTATACTATTGTAGGACATAACTACCACATTCGCCCTGTCAATGTTTAAACTGATGAAATTCTGAGGAAAGCCAATATTATATAAACAGAACAGAATAATTATTTTTCCAGTTACGACAAAGCAAGTGATAAAACTGCGTCTGCTGAGAAAGGACTCCTCTCTGGATCTGAACGACCCTGCTGTGATGGAAGGAATGTTGTTGCAGGTAAATCTTGTTGGACCTTTCAGATTTAATGTAAAAATAGAACAACCAAATGAGTGAAAGCAAATTAAAAAAGGATAAGATCGCATAAGATCAGACTTAATACATCCGTGCTCTAGCAGTACAAAGATTAGGCAAATGACAGAGCTATCAAATCAAAGTCAGCTACTTCTGCTGGCCATACGAATAAAGTGAGAAGACATTTTGTAAATAGCAAAAAAGTCTTTAAGGAGGAAGGATGGATCAAACCAAAGACTTTCACACAGGAGAACGGTGTTCAGGTTCCTTGTGAAACCAAGTAAATTGATTGAATTGATTTATTTACAGTTTTAAGCTAAGTTAGATAGCGTAACTGACTCCCTTGACTTCAGTCATGACTTACGTAACTTTATTTACTACATTTTTTGTGCGTTAAATGTGGTGTAGGATAAGTCACTTCCAAATTGTAATACATTATAGAATACTAGTTACTGTCATTTCACTGTAATTACTGTTTCTGAACTGTTATGCTTTACACTACTTTTGAGTTACTTTCACTGCTATTTGATGGGTGCAATATTCAGATAGGAAGACGAGCTGCGATCTGGTCTTTTTCATAAAAATTATTCATTCTGATTAATAGCAGGGAGGTTGTGGATGGCAGAAATAGGACGAACTGTCTCCCCATTAAGAAAGACGCTGTGTGCATTCACACATGGTACAGCAGCATATTATTTAAATCTCCCGAAACTCTGACGGGATTCGGGCTAAATGTGTTGTAACATGCGTTCCTGAGATTGTAATGGGTATAATATTACAAAAATGTTATTAGTTGTATAGTTAGTTGTATTACTGCGGGACAGCAAAATACATTACTGTAATTGTGTTACTTTAGTAACATGTTACTTCCACCACTGGTTAAACATCACAGGACTTACGTAACATCTGGTAAACCTGTTGGACTGGTACCGAAAATGCTCATATGTTGTTTTGCGACACTTGAAAATCTACCTATATTGTCGTTTAGGTATGAGGATGTGTTGCAGATAAGTATGTGCAGAAGGAAAGAGTCTAGCAGTGCCACTCCACAGGCCTCACTCAGGTGGAACTGTGACTAGTTAAGAGAAACTACAAAACACCAAATGCACCAGAAAAATGCACTAATGTGATCTTTGTGGCACAGTAGCCTAGTGGTCAGCAAAAAAGTCCCGGGTTTGAATCCAGGTCGCCCTGGCCGGTCTCTGTGGAGTTTGCATGTTCTCCCCGTCTTTCCTCCAGGTGCTCTGCTTTCCATTACCAAAAACATGTTGTGTTGGTTCTTCAGTCTGGGCCATATGACCAGACACTGCATTCAATCTGGAGTTGGGCGCTGTACAGAGACTGCTCCCATCAGAAATGGGTTAAATGCAGAGGATGAACGCCACGTGTATGTGATAAATAAAAAAGTACATTTTAAGTACCGCTAGCAATCAGAGAAAAACAGAACATTTACACAACAGCTCCTACAACAGAGCATCCAGATGAGGAACAGTAAATATCAATGCATAATGTTATTCCATAAGCATTATTAAGTGATGAGGTTTTGCATCTCAGCTCCAACAGAAGCTGAAGGACCAGGAGATGAATGAAGACGTCAAACTGAGCTGGAAGAAGCAGTCAGATGGAAAGGTCTTCCACGAGGACCAGAAGGAGACAAAAGAGACAAAAGAGACGGAAGCCCGTACAAAAATGGACAAGCTGTAATGTTGAACTGCTGTGTCTGTTTTTATGAGGGAAAATGTATTTCTTTCCTCAAAACCTTTTTTCAAACAAAAATGCTATAGATTTGCAAGTTGCAGCGTCACAAATGTGAGGATTTGATGCTTTTCTTTGTCCTGTGGTGACCAAAGAAAAGCATCACACAGACTGTTGGTCGATTTAAACAACACATTTGATCTCCTTCGGCTGCTTTTCTGACATTTGATAGATAAGATACCTTAGGATTAGATAATAAAATATTACTTAAGACACACAAACCTATATTTTGGTTCTTTTTGCCTTGAGGCTGACATTACAAAGAAATTTCTGCAATCAAATGTTTAAACCAAAATGGCAAATGCTCAATTTCTTAACTTGTCAAGAGAATGGCTTTGTTTATTTTTACTGTAATACAAAAAAGTGTGGTTTTACATTACTCATTTATACTGAATACTTTACTTTATAATAACCTCTGGTGTATTCTGGATCAGATCAGAATCAGAAATACTTTATTGATCTCTTAACTGTTGCTCACATTACACATCAAAGTATAAAGGACTATGAAGAATTATGGAAAGTTGGTAGATGGAATATAAAAATAAATATAAAAATATAAACGGGTGTGGAAAATGTAAATTTGTTTTCACAGTACAGAAGTGTACTGATAAATGGTTTTAATGAGTACAGATGGTGTTGAGTTGGAATATATCAAAAATCCTTAAAATTGCAGCATTTGAGATCAGAGATCAGTTTCTGAAATATTGCACTACAATATTGACTAAGAGTCCGAGTGTTTGACACGCTGAGGGAGGAAAGTTTGATGGCCACAGGCAGGTTTTAAAGAAACTGCTCACCACAGACAGAGTCTAGCTCTACCCCCGTCTGCTACCCTCAACCTGCTGCCCCAGCATGCAGCAGCAAACAGGACTGACCTGGCCACCACAGACTCATACAGCATCCTCAGCATTGTCCGGTCGGGTAGTAGGATGTGTTTGAGGGCAGTTGAGATGAGGAGGGAATGAACTAGAGCCACTGTGTCAAATCTGTTCAAGAACAGATCGTGTTTGTCGGCTTTGTCCAGACTGCCTTCAATTTCTCCTCTTAGCCCCACTGATCTTGACTTTCAGCTCATCCTGCATTGCCCTCACCTCTTCCCTGTTAACGTCACTGAAAGCTCTCGCCTTTGCATTCACGATGTCCTTTGTTGCCCGCGGTTTGTTTTATATTTGAATAACAATGGCCGTTCTTTGCTGGGAGAGTGCAGTCCACACAGAGGTTTATGTAATCTGTGACGCACTCAGTTAAGTCCATTAACGTCCTCTCCATGCAGCTCACAGGATGCATCGCCGTTAGTCACCTCAAAACAAACACCGATCATACTGCAATTCCTTAGTGTCAGGTTGCCTTAATAAGTCGCTTAAGACTCTCCAGTTGGCCAGGAAAAGAGATCATATTTGTCCTGTTTTAGCACCATCCTATCACCCAACCTGAGTCCAGGTTCTACTCAAGGTTCTGATCATTAAAAGGGAGATTTTCCTTGCCACTGTGGCGAGGAACTGCCTAATATGCAAACAATTGTCTCAACTGATGAATTTGAATGAAGAAAAATAAGACTGAGGTATTAGAAGCTATTTAAATGCCAATTAAGTCAGAATTCCAGCTTTAAAATAATCAAGAGTAAACAAAGATGGACATTCTACTCATCATGGCTGCATTGTATTATTATTTTATGCTTGTTTCTACACAATTTACAAACCAGCAATATGAATCCTAATGTAAAAAAATGCTTTTAAAATCCTACTTACGGTAAAGATTCACAATTTATCAATAATCAGGTGCGCACATGAACATTATTAACAGTTGCTGTAATCGTATATAATATTTTTAATAATATATTCTAAAGTTTTTCTGGAGCTAAAATGAGACTTAAGCAGTTTGATTTTATTAAATAAAGTGAATATATTTCAGAGTTACACTGTTTTTAGTACAAAATCCGTCCTTTGTTACTGTCCCTCAAATGCAGCTCAGCAAGGAAACACTGTCTAGAGAAAGATGCTGCACTGTAAAGAGATGTTCACTTGATGTGATTAACTCAGCTAAAGCCTTATTTTGGCTTCAGATAAACTTACTGGAATATGTTTTTGCACAGAACGAGCACTCTGGATTTGGAAGCATGTTAGGAAGAGAAACCATTTAATGTCCAGCATGAACGGGAGGAATGAGATAATAATAATAATAATCAGATCTGATATCAAAATATACAGTATGCTCGATATTTCTCAAACCACTAATCTAAAATCTAACATTGTTTTGTATGTGAATCAGATGTTTTAAATGTAATCTGAAAAGCAATTTAATGTCTTGCAGTTAAAAGCTAGTAGAAGTATAAACAAACAAATTATTTCAACTTGCCATAAATACTGTATTTTCCCCATAGGGGGATACATTTTATGGCAAGTTGAAATAATTTGTATAAAAATAATATGTATCCCACTATAACTTTTGCTAGGAAAAGAGAAACTTCACCATATTCATTACATGAGTGAAGAATACACAAAATGAAATACTTGACAGTAGGCCATCATCTGGGCGTTATGGAGGGGGAAACATATTTTGGCAGACTGCATGTCCAGCCTGGACACAAACCTCGTTAGTAAAACAATACTAAAACGATAGATTAAACAATCCACGTGGTATATTTTTCATTCACTTTGAAGAAGTTGAAGGTCCGCCTTCACCGCTGAATGCACGCGCGGGAAACACTTTCTGTCGGGGAGAACTACCTTGGCACGACACCTGTCATCATTAAGTCCGCTGCTGTTCCAATTGCAGAATGACAGGCCGCGAGGAGCTCCCGTTCCTTGAAATTTGCACTCCTTAGCCGAACTTACCAAGTCCGACCTTCCAAGTACAGAACTTGGTGAAATCAGCCATAAAAAAATCCGTAAAAATTGCATTATTTGACAGAGAGCAAGGGCGTCGCCAGGATGCCCCGGATGTTTTGCCTGTAGCCCCGAATGTAACTCAACAACAGCAACAAAAATATTTTCCATGTTAATATGCAGCGGATAACTCAGCCTGCCTGCGAGTAAGCACTTGTCTGCAACTTCTGAATTGTCTCTAGCAAAATTGTAATCAATAGCCTACATTTAAACATAAATGTTGTCGGTTAGCGTCTAGTCAGTGTATTAACAAACGCTTGACAGTCGGCGCAAAGTAGTGAGACAATATCGCGACTCCTGACCGCGACACAGACACCTGACGCTCTGTGTCCTGCTGTCTCTGTCCCCCTCGCTGTGAGACTGTTTCACTGTGATATTTCTGTCTGATCACAAGTGTTGACCAGTTTCGGTTTTCTTTCTCTGGTGAAGAGCAGTGCGCTCCTCTCATCGAGTAGGCTACAAGTCAAATTATTTATTAACAGTTTTTTAAAAATGGGCGAACGATCGGCCAGAAAGCATAAGCCTATATTTACCTGGCACCTATATTTTGTCCTTCCCTTCATAAAACTAAAGACATTTCCACCATAAATTGGTGCACAAATTCTATCCATCGTCAAGCGCTTATCCTGCGTACGGGGTCGCGGGGGGGCTGGAGCCAATCCCAGCTGGCATCAGGCGAAAGGCGGAGTACAACCTGGACAGGTCGCCAGTCCATCGCAGGGCCACACAGAGATGAACAAACACTCACACCTAAGGACAATTTAGGGTCACCAATTAACCAAGCCGCATGTCTTTGGATGGTGGGAGGACGCCGGAGCACCCGGAGAGAACCCACGCTACCTCCGCCTTTGTGCAAGGAGTAGCAGGAGGAGCACTGCCAGAGCCCTGCAAAATGACCTCCAGCAGGCCACAAATGTGCATGTGTCTGCTCATACGGTCAGAAACAGACTCCATGAGGGTGGTACGAGGGCCCGACGTCCACAGGTGGGGGTTGTGCTTACAGCCCAACACCGTGCAGGACGTTTGGCATTTGCCAGAGAACACCAAGATTGGCAAATTCGCCACTGGCGCCCTGCGCTCTTCACAGATGAAAGCAGGTTCACACTGAGCACATGTGACAGACGTGACAGAGTCTGGAGACGCCGTGGAGAACGTTCTGCTGCCTGCAACATCCTCCAGCGTGACCGGTTTGGCGGTGGGTCAGTAATGATGTGGGGTGGCGTTTCTTTGGGGGGCCGCATAGCCCTCCATGTGCTACTATTCCTCCTAATGCGAGACAATGCTAGACCTCATGTGGCTAGAGTGTGTCAGCAGTTCCTGCCAGAGGAAGGCATTGATGCTGTGGACCGGCCCGCCCGTTCCCCAGACCTGAATCCAACTGAGCACATCTGGGACATCATGTCTCGCTCCATCCACCAACGCCACGTTGCACCACAGACTGTCCAGGAGTTGGCGGATGCTTTAGTCCAGGTCTGGGAGGAGATCCCTCAGGAGACCATCCGCCACCTCATCAGGAGCCCAGGCGTTGTAGGGAGGTCATACAGGCAAGTGGAGGCCACACACACTACTGAGCCTCATTCTGACTTGTTTTAAGGACATTACATCAAAGTTGGATCGGCCTGTAGTGTTTTCCACTTTGATTTTGAGTGACTCCAAATCCAGACCTCCATGGGTTGATAAATTGGATTTCCATTGATAATTTTTGTGATTTTGTTGTCAGCACATTCAACTATGTAAAGAAAGGAGTATTTAATGAGATTATTTCATTCATTCAGATCTAGGATGTGTTATTTTAGTGTTCCCTTTATTTTTTTGAGCAGTGTACAATCCTGAGTCAAATCCCTCGTATATGCACACGTACCTGGAAAATAAAGCTGATTCTAATGGTCAAGCACCATCTTATCACCCAACCTGAGTCTGTCTGGTGGTAATTGTAGGTAATCTTTAATATACCAAAGAGTATGGTCTGGAAATGAAAAGTCCCATAAGATAGCTTCTGTTATGAACTATATGGGCCTATTGTTTGCCTAATATGCAAACAATTGTTTTGTCTGAGGAATTTGCATGAAGTCAAATAATTCTGAGATATTGGAAGCTCTTTCAACACAGATTGAATCAGAAGTCGCACTTAAAAATAATCAAGAGCAAACAAAGATGGACATCGTTTATCTACTCATCATGGCTGCATCAGGCAAGTATTTTATTTGTTTTTTATATTCTCCTATCACACTATATTGTTACATCATTGTGGCTACACAATTTGTCAACCATCACTGTCAAAATACTCATGTACTAATACTAATAATGTGCCTTCAGTGTAAGTGATGGGGACAAAATCTACAATTGTGTGTAAAAAAAAAAAAAAAAAATATATATATATATATATATATATATATATATATATATATTCCGACGTTTATCTGGAGCTAATGAGACTTTAGAAGTTTGAGTTTGTTAAATAAAGTGGATAAATTTACTGTGATTTTAGAACGAAATATGCTCATTGAGTTACTATCTCTCCAACACTTTCTAGAGAAAATCAGAAAGGCAATGCTGCACTGAAACGAGATGTTCACTTGATGTGATTAACTCTGCTAAAGCCTTATAGTGGCACAGAACGAGCACTGTGGATTTGGAGGCATGTTAGGAAGCGAAACCTTTTAATGTCCAGTATG